CAAAATCACTGCAGATGGTGACTGCAGCCATGAAATTAAAAGATGCTTACTCCTTGGAAGGAAAGTTATGACCAACCTGGATAGCATATTAAAAAGCAGAGACATTACGTTGCCAACAAAGGTCCGTCTAGTCAAGGCTATGGTTTTTCCAGGGGTCATTGTACGGATGTGAGAGTTGGACTGTGAAGAAAGCTGAGCACCAAAAAATTCATTCTTTTGAACTGTGGTGTTGGAGAAGACACTTGAGAGTCCCTTGGACTGCAAGGAGATCCAACCAGTCCATCCTAAAGGAGATCAGTCCTGGGTGTTCATTGGAAGGACTGATGCTGAAGCTGGAACTTCAATAGTTTGGCCACCTCATGTGAAGAGTTGACTCACTGGAAAAGACCCTGATGCTGGGAGGGACTGGGGGCAGGAGGAGAAGGCAACGAAAGATGAGATGGCTGGATGACATCACCGACTCAATGGACATGAGTTTGACTAAACTCCGGGAGTTGGTGATGGACAGGGAGGCCTGGCGTGCTGCGATTCATGGGGTCACAAAGAGTCGGACACGACTCAGCAACTGAAGTGAACTGAACATAAGGAAATAATCTATTACAAAGACCATCTCCATCCCCCCAGATAACAGGTATCTGCACTATGAAGCCCTGGCCATTCCCCCCCCCCCCCCCAAAAGATATCCTGACCTAAAATTATCCTTTCTTTTCTTTAACAATTCCTTTGCCCTACTCCTCTGCCTAAGGAAAAAAACTGTCCATTTTATATAACCCTTCTATGCTGACCAGTTCGCAAACTTCTTTATAAAACCAAATCAGATCTTTAAATTTACTCATTGGAATTTGGGGCAGGGGGTGGGGGTTGGCGGCGCCAAGAGCGACTTGTGGGATGTTACCCTCCTGACCAGGAATCCTACCCATCCTACCCAGGTCCTTGGCAGTGAAAGTGCGGAGTCCTAACCACTGGACCAACAGGGAATTTCTTGAATCTTGTTTTTTAAGAGTAGTAACCTCATCCCAAACTTACGGAAAGCCGTCAGAGGAAATTTAATTCATCCAGTGTTCTACTGCGGCAAATAACAGAGTAAGATGGACGGCGTGCAGCCTGGGAGGAGGGTCCTCACGGGGAGAGAGATCTGGAGACCTTCCAACTAGGCCAGAACTGATCCCATCCAACTCCGGGAACGGAGAGGCCTCAGCCCAAAGGAACCACCTTCCACGCCCCATCCCTCAAACCACTGCTCTCTGAAGAAGCTCTCTCCCCCAAATCGATGACTGGGTCAGACAGGTTCCCAAACAAGTTCCCACGGGTCACATAAAGCGGAAACCACTCACCCCGCTGTCAGGTAGGAGAGGGGGATAACAGGACCGCCCAAAGCATAAGTTCCGCCCAGAGAGGAAGTTCCATCCAGAGGCTACTCTGGAGAGACACTTCCCAGAAGTCCCTTCTCCGGGTCGCGCCTGCGCGGAAGACTCCGAGAGCCTACCGAACTTGTTGACTACACTGCCCAGAAAGCCGAGTGGGCATACCCCCCGAATTCTCAGAAGGCCTGCAGTGCAAGAGACTCAGGTCCTATCCTTGGGTCGGGAAGATTGTGTGGAGAAGGAAATGACAACCCACTCCAGTATTACTGCCTGGAGAATTCTATAGACAGGAATCTGGCAGTCATCGGGATCGCTAAGAATCGGACACAGCTGAGCGACTAACACTTTTCATTCTTTCCACTTCAAGTATTTAAGACCCTGTCAGATGTGGTGGACTAGCTTCCACAATGCCCTTGCATTGTTTATGCAGTCCACTTCCTGGGCAAGTAGGTGGATTACTACTAGAGGCAAGTGTTGCCCTCTTCTGAATCCGAGAGTGGAGACTATTGTATGTTGTTTAAGCTACTGTTAGTAAGCAAAACTACATTATCATTTCAAAGTTTAGTTCAAACTCCAGTGATGGACTTCAGATTCTCGGTAAGAACATCGCACAAGGTGAAGGCTCAAGAAGCTGCACGTTTGGAAATCTACATAGAACTGTTGATAACAACACTTTAAGGTTGTATTATAGGGACTTTCCTGCTGAGTCACTGGTTCGAATTCCAGGCTTTCACTGCAGTGGCTCGCAGTCAATGCCTGGTTGAGATTAGAGATCCTACAAGTGTGGCAAGGCAAAAAACATACAAAGCTCAAAAGTGTATAACCTTCATGGGCCCAAGAGAATAAAGTAATTTGGTTGATTCTTTACTGTGTCTCTCATATGAGTCTGAGTCACCTAAGTCAGTGAGTCAGAGACTTTCGTGGTAGTTCAGTGGCTAAGTTTCCGGCTTCCACTGCAGAGGGCCTGGGTTTGATCTGTGCTCAGGGAACTAGATTCCAGAAGCCCGTAATAAAGATTCCACATGCCGCAAGAGCGAAGATTCCGCGTGCCACCAATAAGACTTGGCACGGCCAAATAAATAAATATTGTAAAAATATTAATTCAAATGGATCATAGACCTAAATGTAAAACCTGAAACTGTGCAGCTTTTAGAGCAGGAAAAAAAGCAGGGGCAGAAAAACCTTTGTGACATTAAATTAGGCAGAGTTCTTATATCTGAAACCCAAAGCACAAATCACACAAGACAAAAACTGGAGTTCATCAAAAATTTTAAAAACTTAAATGCTCTGTGAAAAATACTGCTAATGGGGCAAAA